AAAGCATCTTGTAGACTTCCTTGACTCCTCTTTTTCTCTTGTATTTTAAATTCAACCTGTTAGTAAATCCCATGAACTTTACCTTTAAAACGTACCTGGAATCCACCCCCTCCAAGTAGGTTTTTCAAACACCTCTGAATTGGTCTTTCTGCTGCCAACACTCGTTAGTTCGGTGTGTTTTCAACCCAGCAGCCAGATGGTCCACGGTAATCAATGAGTTGGATCATAACATTTCTCTACCCAAACTCCTCCAGAACTATTCTAAAACAAAACTTTTTTTGAAAAGTCCTTCAGAGGCTTCTCCTCTCAGTTAGATCAAATGCAAAGTACTTCCAGTGGTCCGCAGGGCCTTATACACGCCACCGTGTCTCTTTCTGACTGTGACTCACTACCCTCCCCTCACACAGCCTCGTTGGGTCCATTGATGTTCCTTGAATGTGCTGGTTTCCCAACCTCCCTCCAGCCTTTCACTTCTTCACAGAATGCTTTTCTCTCAGATGCTCCTTCACCTCCTTCAGGTTTTGATCCTTACATCTCCTCCATGAAGCCATCCCTGGGCACCCTGATTACATTTCAATCCTATTTTACTCTCTGGAAATTTAGCCTGGTCACTTTACTATGGTCCTTCCCCCCAGCAGGTCTCTGTTTCCTGCACCAAGAGAAGATGGAAACTCTTTTCTGCTTCTCTGAAGATTTTACCTTAATGTGTTAGCTTCCTGCCCCATGAAGGTTTAGGATTCCACAAATGCCTTGAAGGGAAAACCAGAAGTACGTGAAATCCCTAATTCTGCCACTCCGTCCCTCACCATCGCTAAAAGCTCTGCCAGTAGCTCTCTTCCCAGGTCTGCCCTTCTGCTGTGGCCAAGCCTGAACGCTCAGCAGCTGGTCCTGTCCATTATCTTCAAACGCTCCCCGGGGAAAATGCGAAGTTATCTTACAGAAGATAAGATAACTGCTCTGGTGCTCACCTCTGTGGAATAGGAGCCCCTCCAGTCCTTGTCAATTCTGCAACTGTCTGCTAGCTCTTAACAGAGCAATTCTGTATTTTATCCAGGTCCTAGTGGGAGCATTGGTCTACCACAGACTACTCCATCCTACCATCTACTGCTCACGTTTGACTTGTTTTTCTGTCTTAGCCTGTCTCTCTGTATTGGAATGTAATTTTCACAAGGTGTTAAATTGATCTCCTCTTTCAGTGCCTACAGCTGTGCCTGTCACAAGCAGACCTTCCGTAGATATTTGTTGATTAAATATATATATATATATATATATATACTATCCAACTACCTGTAATCCATAGACTATTAAGTTATGATGTCACTTTGAGATAATCATATGTGAAATATTGGCTCTAAGCAAATCCGAAGTTTACACTAGGGCATCTGAGAAGGAATTCCACGTAGAGGCTGTTACCTGTCAGAACAATTGAAAATGAGACATGAGAGTTTTTATGTAATCTCCAGTTGCAAAAAGCATATGAAAAACATTGATAAACAGTAGTCATTGGGGGAGGGTATAGCTCAAGTGGTAGAGTGCATGTTTAGCATGCGTGAGGTCCTGGGTTCAATCCCCAGTACCTCCTCTAAAAAAATAAATAAATGAATAAACTTAATTATCTCCCCCTTCAAAAAAAATTTTTAAAACCCCCCAAAAAAGTAGTCATAAACATGAGGCTCCAACTGAAAACAAGTATCACAACTCCTAATTACAAGCATTAATTTGTAATTAGAAGCATTGAAATGTAATTGCATTTCATACAGACAATTCTACGTAACTTGCTCCAAAGTTACGGAGCAAGGATTACATAGCAGGGATTAATTTATTTACCTATGGTTAATTTTTTCATCTAATCGGTATTGGGGAAGCCAGCTAAAACCATGGATAGATATAGAGATAGACAGATAGATGGAGCTATAGATGTGGGTAGATATCCTGATGAAGATTAAAATGTGGTTACCAGGGGCTGGGAAGGAAGGAAATGGGAAAATGCTAGTCAAAGGGCGCAAGCCTTCAGATACAAGATGAATAAGCTCCGAGGATCTAACGTACAGCATGGTGATTATAACTGATAATACTGTGCTGTGTACTTGAAATTTGCTGACAGTAGAATTTACATGTCCTCACTGTACACACAAACAAAAAGACTAACTATATGAATTGATGGGTGTGCTCGTTAACCTGTGTTCATTAGGTGGGGGAGGGAGGTAATTAGGTTTATGTGTTCATTTACTTTTTTTAGAGGAGGTGCTGGATATTGAACCCAGGACTTCATGCATGCTAAGCACGTGCTCTACCACTTTGAGCTATACCCTCCCCCAACCTGATTCTAATAATCATTTTATAAATGTATATTAAATCACCACAATGTATGCCTTATGTATATAAATTTTGTCAAATTTACCTCAATACAACTGAAAAAAAAAAACAAACCCGTACAAATCCAATCATTCCCCAAACATTAACCCTGCCAGCCGCTGTGCTACTGTTCCTAGCTGACCCAATCCACGTCTTGCCCCAGCAGAGTGGACTTTCTAGGAAACACAGTCAGTAAAACAAAAACCTGTTCAAGTACATCAAACCTTCTCTAGGGTTGGGGCTCAGGGCAGGCCACCTCAAAATATTCCACAATGGCTTATAGATTATTTCAGATTAAAGTTACTTAAGAAACAGCCAGCACAAGAGGGACACTCTAACCTTCCTTTCTGTCTCCCTGCAAGCAGGAAATAAATGTCCCTGCATCTGGAGGTAGACAGACACCCTTAGAGCCAGACACGGGGAATTTGAACTGAGACGTCTTTGTAAACAAACTTTGTGACATCTTTACTACCCTAAGCCCAGACTCTGTTTAGATTCTTCACTGATGGGGCACCCAAAACTGAAGTTTCTTTGTTCTGTCAATTCTTCACAAATTTCTTGTTTTTTTGTCTAAAAAAGTATAAAAGCTACGTGCTTTGGCCACATCTTAGGTCTCATTTCTATGAGACCTCCAGGCACACAAATTAAAGCTTGTTTTTTTTTTTTTCTCCTGTTCATCTGTCTTGTGTCATTTTTATTATTAGTCCGGCCACTAGAACTCAAGAGGGTAGAGGGGGAAATTTTCACTTCCCTGACACTAGCCTCTTCAGGCAGGTATTCTTAATACAGAGCAACCATCTTTAAAATAACCTTCTGAGTATCCTTTATACAATTTGCTGCAGCTTCCTGAAAATTTGAATGTACATTTTCCCTACTTTTCATTTTCTATGTCTCAACAGCAACCATCCCCACATAAACTTAACCATTTCCTCATCCTCTGAGCTCTTCTTTTTTTCTCATCTCTTCATTTCTTTCTTTTTTTTTTGTAACAAACTTATTGAAATACAATTCAGATCCTTCTCTTCCACATTCACTTTATTTACTTCACCCAATAGTAATCCTTACTATCATATTACTGATTCATTTTCTATAACAAAACCCTAGAGCCTAGAGTGGGGGTGAGGAGCAGGGACATTGGGAGGGAAGGAAAGAAGGGTGTAAGAGGGAATGCCTAGCCAGTCCTCACTGAGCAGAGGAAAGATGCTTTGAATATTCATACAGAAAGAAGGATTTACACCACTAGTTACTTAGAAGACTGAAAAGTGGTCCCTGCCCTAAATGAGCTTCTGTATTCGGGATGGACTACATGGATATTAGGTAATAAAGCGTGCCAGGTGGAGGTGAGGACTATCAAGTGTGTTCTTTCTTGCCAACTTGGAGACAGGAAGTGCCCTCCTGGAATCTCATAAATACCTCGGGTTTGAAATATCCCGAACTGAAGCCATCATCTTTCCATAACAAAACCGCTTTGCTTTTTCCCTCCTTGTGGTGAATGGTTTCACCATCCTCCCACTTACTCAAGAAGGAAGAGGGGAGTCATCCTAGACAGGCTGTCCCTGCCCCGCCCTCACGTCACGTCAGGCTCCAGGTTCACTGCTGTGTTTCACCCCTCGTCTCTCACTCAGCCCAGGTTCACTGGTCTTCCAGCAATACGGCCATCCAGCCCATCCTCCCTAACAGGGGTTTCCAAATCGTGTTTCTTAGAACTCTGGTAGGTCTTGGTTTTTGCTGGTTTCATGTTGGTTTTGGCTGGTTGTTTTGGGCTTCCTTTAGTTTGGGAATCCTTACTCCGACACCACCTAGAACGTCTTTTTCCTCTTTTCTCCGGGAGCCTTCCCTACTTCCCCGTGGAGGGGAAAGACTTCAAGTCTTCCGTGAGCCTACTGGCTTTGATACGTGCCTCTGTAATTTGTTATCTGAGCAAAGTGTTGTAATTACTCTATCTAGTCTCTCAAAGTAAACATATGCATAGATATCAAACTTTACAGAACAGTTTCAATAAACTAAGAAGGAATTAAAAGCTCAGCAAGCCAAGTATTAAAGGGAGTGCAATTATAATAATTATATCAATTTTCATCTATCTTGGTGTTTCCATGGAATTTTTTCGCATGAAATAGTTTGAAATCTGGATCAAGATAAGAAAGCTTTAATTGTATATTTTCCCTAACTATAGATTTAATTATTGAAAAACAATTCAGAATGATTAACTTACTGATAATTAACAATTAACTAACAATTAACTTACATGAAATAATCCATATAATACAATGTCCTACTAACAAACTAAATTTGTAAGAAGTCCAGCAGTTTCGTAAATTTTATCAGATCATACAATTAACATTTAATCTGGAGTATAAACAGAGAATGACTGTGAATTTTCTAAATAAATCAAAAGGCAGTCATAATTCCCCTGTGAGATAAATTTTAACGATATTTTGAAAACATTTTAAATAGTCAAAATTGCTTAACACTAATTCATCTCCCACATTTTCTAATAATTCTGGTAATACTTTAAGCATGTCTTCTCTTGCTGACTGAGAAATCTTTGTTTGGCCTTTAATTATACTTTATGTTCAGATATAAATTTTCTCTTTCATACGTGAACAAACTTAAAAACTATGAAGACATAAACAAACACATGTAAGTTAATGCTTAGCTAATGATTTTTAATTGCTCAGCAAACATTCTGCACCTACATTCAAGAATACAGCTTAGTATGGTATTATGATATATTTCCCAAATTTTAATACTATATTTTTAAATTTCAAAACTGGTATCGTTGTCAGAGTAACATGTACATCAGAAAACAGAAATTCAGAAATTGCATTACTCTCCAAAATTATTTTACTGACAATGGTTATAAAAATCACACATTGTGGACAGCTTATAAAATGAAAATTTTACTTATTAAAACTTTTTTATTCCACTAATATCTAATTTCATATCAAGAAACACCTTTACTTAGAACCTGTGACTGAAAATAAGGAGATAGATCACAAAATTTAAGAAAATCAGCCACTTATTTTTTTAAAAGGTTAACTAGCTAACTGATTAAAAAAATGTTTTTTGTCTGAGTAAGAAATTTCCTTGTGATATATACTGTTAACGTTTATAAATCTATACAGTTTGGCACAAAAAACTATTACAATATTTAAATATATGGCCTGTTTCTAAATTAATAAAATATAATATCCATTTAAAATGTTATATATTCAAAATAATTTATTAACTCATGTTTTCATTCATTTATCTATCATTCAACAAAAGTTTGGTAAAAATTGCTTTAATAGATTTCAATTTTTTAATATATAATGACAGACATGTTTTCTGATTTAACATTTTTTGAAAGTGATTACCAGTGTAGCCTGAGTATTAAGTTCCAGTATGGATGGTTATTTAATTGTTAGCATATTCAAAGGGCTAAGCATATCAGGGTTGCCAGCCTGATGCCTGCTGGGCTAGTTTCACAAATGCTTGAAGACAGTGGGTCTGCATCAAACTAGAGAAGGTATGTCCTTTTGCCAAGGTATTTACATTTTTAAAAAGTAATAATACATCATAGTGGGCAAACAAAACAGATCTGTGGATTTCAGTCAACCCACGGGCATCAAGTTTCCAATTCTTTCATGGAAATCCTCTCACGTGATCCTTACAAAATCTCTGCAGCTCAAATTGCCGTGAGCTTGCTTGTTTTGATCCCTGTCTTTCCAAATAATTCTAGAAGCTGTAGGAACGTAATTAATAACACAACCACATGGACAGAGATCCCAGGATCGAGCTGGGAGCATCTCCGCAGGGTGGAAAGTTTAGTAAGAAATGAGCTCTGATTCACCGAATCGAAGACTGCATCAGAGAGTACTTAAAAAAAATCCTTCAGCACATAGCTGCTCGGGTAGAGGAAGCAGTTCTCTGGCACCAAAGACCAATAAAAGCATAATTCTCCCCAAGATTCTGAAGAAAATATTTAATTTTCACCTAAAATAAAAATGTGTTTTTCATTAGCCTCCACAGTCCACAGCTCTCCCACATACTCTTCCAGAGCATACAAAGTGACATAAAATTCCAAACAGAAGGTAGAAGAAAGCACATGAGGACAGTCCTGGAAAGGGCAGTATATACACGTATAGAAAAGGAAATTAACAAGTGAAACGTTTACTTCTAGAGGACATGGACATTATCTCGGACAAGGAGAATTTAGGGGCGTGTCATACTTACAGTGTCCTTGTCTACACATGACTGGAAGCTTACCCCAAGTCAACAAACACATTAGCAGATGCTGCCATCAAATTACATTCAATAAACTCCTACACAAGCATTTGTGGATGTTACTCTATTAAAAGGCACACTTATTTGTTTACACATGTCTTTGCTAGCGTCCTAAATTTGGGTTCCAGATGATCCAGAAACTCAAGACCCTCATCTTCCTGCCGATCGCTGCAGCAGCCCACCGAGCCAGCCACAGAGCCTTTCCCTTCATAGTTGTAAGAGCGAACGTAGTCTTCAGAATGTTTATGCTCCTCGTCCTGGCCACACAGGTACACCTTCTGTTTCAAAAAAGAGCACATTTTATTATTATTTTTTTAAAAAACACCTAAACATATTAGCATTAAAAATAATGTCTTTGATTTACCTTTTACTGTTTAATTTTTAATCAGAGTGTGTCCTCTAATGGATTCCTACATATAAAAAATGCACATGATTGGTCTGTATTATATTCATTCTTAAAATATAGCAAATATATAAATGCTCCTAGTGAACACATTTTCGAAAGTTAAAGCTACACACACACACATCGCACCCCTACCTTACAATTTCCCATTTAAATACAAGATCTGTGTGGTTGAAATGTGTCTTTGCAACTTTTTTCACATATTTGGGGCAAACCAACATTGGCTATGATTCTTACGTTTACACACTATTATATATAATAATGTAACATATTAAACTGGCTACTATTAATCTGTATAGATTGATCTGAACATAAAACAAGGAACTAAAACCCAAAATAAAAGCTTAACAGTCGGTTCAGTTGATGGTGATAGGATTTTATAACCACACGGAGGATTCAACACACTAAAACTGTTTATAATTTGTGATCTGTGCATCATTCTAGAACAAATATTTAACTCCAAGGGATCTTCCTGGTAACGTTTAGGGAAGGCAGTCAGTCTTTTTACACTTCCTAAAGTGCAGGATGCTTACATACACCACTCCTAGATACAGTTTTGTAAATCTTATTTCAAACATTGAACTTTACAAGATCATTTTTCTCTTTGGACTTGGACCTGACATCCACAGTATGATACTTCAACACTAAAAAGGCAAGGAGTCCCAGATTGATGAGGAATAAAACTTTTGGGAAATCCTGAATTATAAGTGTGTTCAACTTTCATGTAATATGAACTTGAAGACACCGGCACTTACTTCGCCAAGCCGAGGTTGGGTGAAGCTGTGCCATTCGGTGTATGTGTATCTGCCGGTGTCCGTTCCTCCCTGTCCTATGCCCTTGACTGATTCCAACGTCTGATGTCCACCTCCTTTGCTGGAATCCAAAGTGTAGCCGCCTTTGACCATCTCAAAACTTTGCTGTGTTTTGACACCCTGGCCACCAAGTGTGCCAACAGATATGTTTGTGTCACAAATGTTGGACGTCTGTGTGGGGAGTTTAATATTTGCTTCCTAAAAATAGAGTTATAAATGAATAAATCAAATTGAAATGAACATTTCCCACCACAGGCAACTCACTTAGCATCTATGCCTCTCAGTTCCCCATACAGAAAATCAGGATAATAACAGCACCCATATCATAGTTGCGAGAGGTTACATTGTGTCACCCCAAAATTCAGATGTTAAGTCCTAACCCTCAGTGCCTCAGAATGTGATCTGATTCAAAGATAGGGTCACTAGAGTTATAAGTAGCTAAATTAAGATAAGATCATACTCAATTAAGGTGGGTCCTTAATCCAAAAGGAGGAACTTGACACAGATGCACCCACACACACAGAATCCCATACAAAGATTTGATTTATGCTGTCATAAGCCAAGGAACTCCCGGAAGCTAGGAGGGAGACCTGCAATAGATTCTCCCGTAGCACCTTCAGAGGGATCATGGCTCTGCCAACACCTTGATCTCTAATTTCTAGCCTTCAGAACCATGAGACAATAAATTTCTATTTAAGTTACTCAGTTTGTGGTACTTTGTTACAGCAGTCCTGGGAAACTAATATAATAGAATTATGAAATTGAAATGAATTAACGTATGCAGGTCCTCTGGAACTCTGCTCAGGGTAGTTAGTGCTCTGAAAGCAAGAGCTGTTATTATTGTTACTATTTTATGTAATAACCAACTGTCATCATTGAACCAGCAAACAAAGGAAAGAGAAATCCGATTTACCATCACTTCCTCTCCGGGTCCTTCAGTGTTTGATACAATTAAGTTTTGCTGGGCTACATCTTCGGGAAAACACTTCTTTACTGCTTTCTTATCAGTAAGACAGAAACATGTAAACAGAACACCTAAAAAGCAAAAATATGTAAGCAAAATAGCATTTTTTTCATGCTGGTATATATAAAATCATTCGAACTGTATGATATTTTTAAACGCTTCTTCACAGAACTTAAAAAAATTTGTTCCATAAATTTCAAACAGAATATTAACAGATGTATTCGTATACAGGCCATCCCTGTCTTAGTGAGATTATGTTATTAGGCTAAAGAAGAAACGAATCAATAAAACATAAGAAGAATAATGTGAACATAGTTTATCAATAGGTGTCTTCCCAGGTCCAGAATTAACTTAATGTGCCCCTTCTTTCCTCCACACTGAAATGGTAACTTCAGCTGATTGGAATTTAAGGTAGTATTATTGGTGTTTCAAATCCACACAGAAGGCACTCAAAGATCTTAGAATCATAAAACAAAGAACATCAGGCATAAATCAAACAGGAAAAGCAATCACATAGTCAGTGCCTGGTTTTGAAAGCATACTTTAAATGCTAAGAGGAATATCCAGTTTAACCTGAAACTCCACTCACTGAATCCAGATAGAGTAAAGACTATGGGAAAAGTGTGTAAATGCAAGTAGGCTGTATGTAGTCAAATAGATTGTTTAAAAAGGAAAAAAAAGGGAGGAAGGAAGGGTAAAGGAGATAAGGAAGGAAAGAAAGAAGGAAAGAAGAGAAGGAGGAAGTGAGGGGGGAGGGTAGAAGTGTGGGCAATGCTTTCCATCAGTTTTGCATCTCCCAGAAAAAAACAACAGCTTGCAGAATGCAAAATCTTAGGATTCTCTGCATCCATGTACTTTTCCTTAGTGGCTCACCACATGACCATTCCCTCTATACTGGAGTCTTCCTGAGGAGGGAGGGTATAGCCCAGTGGAAGGGTTCAACCCCCAGTACCTCCATTAGAAAATAAAAAAGCCTAATTACCCCGACATTGGAGTCTTCTTAAGATGTATGCTAAATCACTTCATTAATATACATTAATAACGTTGAGCATAAACATCTAAGTAAAATTTTAAACTACCCTTTCCACTAATGCTTTGTGTGTGTTCACTGCATGAATCTGGCTGGTTGAAAGAGGATAATATTTTTGTTTGTGAGGGAATCTTAACGTTAATTTTATCTAACTTCTTCATTTTACGTATGGAAAAATGAGCTCAAAGAAGCAGAAATGATTTACTCAGCATCTCATGGCTAATTATCGGAAGAACTGAGGTCACACCTTTGGAAATTACTTTAGATATAATCTGCTCTTACTGACAGGTTTATTTTTCTATGACTCAAAACCCCAAACCATAGGGTACACACAAGCTTTTTAGAAGGACACATTTACCAAAGGTTATAAATGTCATTGATAGAAATGTTTGATGACACTTTTTGCTAACACATTCTAGATAATTGTACTTACATAACAACAATGCAGAACCCAGCACCATGGCAAGAATAGCCCATTTTCCAAGTATTACATTTGATGGCGCGATATCTCTCTGAAGTTTAGTAGTCATTCTACAATCAGAGGGAGTAGTACAGTCACATACTCTCACTGATAACGTGTATGCGGCAGCAAGACCATGTCTGTCTTTTATTTGGATAGGCACAGAGTAATAGTCATAATCAAGATTTTGCCGTTCACGAAGAATGGCAGTTTTACCTAAGGGAAAAAAAGACAGAATATATATATATATATAGATACAACTTTTCAATAGCAATATTGAAATGATTTTTGATTTCCTGAAAAAACAGGAAAATCAGTTGTTACTGCTTTCCTTGTAGTAGACTACCCTGTACTTAACATGTTCCTCAAATCCTGTATTGAAATAGATTTGTATGTTTTCTTAAAGAGATTCAGAACCAGAGTCTAAACTTAACATGAGTGCATTATTCATTGCTTTAAAAAGCAAGATATTATCCATTTTCTTGGATCAAAGAATAATTCCCTAAAATTAACATTTATTTATTTTAATGAACTAAGGTGAAAATCCAGACCACCAGGCATCCTAAGTTCCTATTGAATAGAAGATTTAGCATCCTTACATACCGTCTTTTGTCTCTAACGTCCAAAGTTTGCTGGCAGATTTATCCAGGACGAATTGAAAAGGTGGCCCATTCTCAGGTCCATCTGCATCCACAGGTTCGAGAACGGCAAAATCCTTACCATGCCGACAAATTGTCACTTCTTTGGCAATTTGCGGTGGGTGATCATTATCATCTTCCAGAAGAACGACTAATGTTCCAGTGCAAGATCTGCCAACTGAAAAAAATTTTAAAAATAGGGTATTTCTTCACTTAATGTAGTTTTGACAATCTCTACGATGTACAGTTGACATCTGCTTTCTACTGGCTGTCTGAACTTGATTTTCACACACTTTCTGAACCACAAATACCGCTGGTACAAGCACGTCACTCTGCCTTGCAGATTTGTAGCTGTAGCAGATGGTGTCCTGAGGCGCTTTTTAAAACTAAAAGGTATGAGTGTATGAGTAATGTCACTAGAGAATAACCAACTGAGAAGAAAAATCGATTTCCTACATCTTTCTTTATGAAGAGCATATATTCATACTGAATACGCTGAAATATACACACTTCACATTCGGTCATAATCACGTCCTTGCCTTCTTTTCCTGACCTTTCGCTCATGTACTCTTTGTTTAAACTTTTTTTGTGAAACTGCTCGTCAAACCCAGTAAGTGTGCTCCTTCCTGGCAGCTTTGGTACCTTCTCTTGCCTTTGCTGGGAATGCTTTTCTCCACCTCTTTGCCTGACAAAACCTTACTATCTTTTGGAGAATGCATTCAAATATCACCTCCTCGTGAAGCTGGTGGTGACTTCCATGGACAACGGTGGCCATATTCTCCTGTGATTTCTCAGAGTCCTTGCTACATCATGGGCTCACACACTGAATTGCAAACATGTTCGTCCTAGAGGCTAAGTCGTTTTCATCTTGAGAGCCCTGTGATCTGCCCAGTACTTCTCAGCTCACTTAAAACTTAATACAAACCCACTGAACGTAATGCACTTATTATTTATACTTAAAAAAATTAATTGAATAAGCCATAAAAAAGTTGTACCTTCCACCCTAATTCAAGTAATAGGTTCTTAAAAATAGAGACTCTTACTCTGATCTCTAGATCTCCATTATCATTGGCCTAATGCTTTACACATAAATCTCAATAAACAATTTTAATTAAAATAGCACCCATTGTTGGTGTTTAAGAGATACTGAAGTTTAGAAAACATGTTCAAATTTTACCATTTGTGACAAAATAACAGAGTACTATAATGGTAAGCTTTTAAAATTGACATAAACGGAAAAATAACTGAGGAAATTTCTTTTTTTTTGGCTTTGAATGCTGATCTAAATTTTGGTGTATATTTGTTGGATTTATCATAAAGGCCACCATATATCACATGCAAAAGTAATCTGTAACAATTAAGCCATACCATGCAGTGTATTTCAGTGAATTTTTTCCTGTTGAATAACTAAAAATGATTTATTCAAAGTAACTTTTAAATTAATTATTACATAAGGTAACTGCTGTTTATAGCCATTTAAAAGTTATTCAATGTGAACAAGCTTTACAATATCTTGAAATAAAAGAGTGATACAGCTTTTATTAGAAAAAAAAATCTGAAATAGCATATAAACACTTGGGGACTGCCATAAATTTGTAAATAAATCTGAGTACAAGTAATGGCTTCAAAACCAAAAAAGAGGTGAATAAAGAAGAAAAAGAAAAATTTTTAAAAATTAAAAATATGTAGTTACAGGTACTATATATAAGTCAACATGTATGCTATGATTTTAGTTTTTTAAGTTTAAGCAGAGAACTGTTTCTCTGTAAGAAAAAATAGAAATCACACTTTAAAATTCTAATAAATCGGGCAGTCATCCGGAGGCAAATCAACTCGTTTAATCCCATATTATTCAACCAGAATTTACTACATAAATGATTATTTTCTATCACAGTCTCTGTTTTAAGCATGGTGTTAAAAGTGAAATGCTTGAAATTGTTAAAATCCATGGTAATCAAAGCCAGAGCTGAAAACAAAGCGCTAGCCTAGATGACTTCTACTACTACCAAAGACCGATTGTAAATTTTTACCTTACTTCTGGGAAATACAGCAAAAAGATAAGTAATTACTGATAATAGCTGAAAATTGGGAAAAGGCAATTGTCTGTCTACTTCTAAACCCTATTTTAAATGAAGCACAGAAGCAAATGCCAAATATCAGTGAGTAAGGAATGTCACAATCTCAGGGCTAGAAAGTACATCTTAGGTTAACTAAAATCTAAATTTATTCATCAACAAAAAGACTCTGAAAAGCAAGAGTTCCCCATCATTAAAGAAATGTTTCTAGGGACTGGAAGTTCACTACATCCTGGACCAGCCCACTCCATGCACAGAGCTCTTTAATTAATCATTAGAAAGTTTTCAGGTTCTTTCTTAGCAAGCTATAATATGTCTTCTAACCATTTCCAATAGTTTGTTCATGTTCTTTCTGGATTATACACATAAAATGTTTACTTCTTCCACATGACAACCCTTGAATATTTATTTCAAGAAAATTCTTTTTACAGCCAAATATAACAAAGCATTTTGTAAACTTTCGAACTCAAGTTTCTAAATTAAAACTAATTGTTCCAAGCACCTATTATATGTGTGAACTTGTAAAGGGCTTGGTAGTGAATTTCACAGCCTGGACATGGAAATTCCCAGGGCTCTCAAACAACGGAGGGAATGACAAATATCAGTATGTGCATGAAGCAAACATGCCAAAATCTCTACCGGATGCTTAGTTAAAGGATGTTCTAGCAGAGAAGAGGGGTCATTATATGAAAATGAGCTCATAACCGGTCTAGTTAGAGGGAAAGAATATACATGCGGAACAATGAAAGCACTTTTATAGAGAAGACGCATCACCTGTAATAATGAACAGATCATTCCCAGGGAAGGAGGGCTTAAAAGGTATTCAGAGAAGAACTGAGCAACGACTGGTGAGAACCATCACAGAAGTTGTCATTGCCATTTGTTTGAAGAAGTGGAGGGGCCTGAATTTCAAACGGGAGGGCAATGCTATTCTAAGTGGAGGGTGTATAAGACAGCGCTTTCTAAAGTGAAAGCTGGGAAACCAGCCTGAATGACAGAGAGAATTGACGCAGAAAATACAAGGACATAAACTGGATTCTAAGAAAGCTAGACTATCTAGATCATCTTGAAATAATTATGAGCATCAAAACTAAACACTCATGGAAATACAAGTAATTTTATATTTGGCCATTGGAAACATATATTAAATGGATTAAAGTTCAAATAAACAAAATCCTTCATGTCACCATATTTGGTCTTCCACTAAAATTTATAACACCCTTATCTTAGCTTCTTGAACACACTTAGGTTCTCCAGGAGCCTGGGACATAGATTCACGAAGTTTAGATTCGGCGTTTCATTGGTTTGTACTACGACCACTGAACTGACAGACACTCTTTCAGCACCAAGAGACAAAGTTAATTTACTTTACCTCTGTCCTCCATATTTTCTGTCTCTCCAAAGAGTATGTCATTTTCTATCACCAAGCTTCTGCATTTCCATGAAATCTCCCCTCCTTACCCTTTAATCTGGGCAACTCAACTGATTTCCGCTTCTTGTGATATCGATACATCCTTTAACACGGGAAGTTTTCATACCGAAGAATCTTTTATGAGACTATAATAATCCCTTCATTGATATCATGGAAAATTTGACCTTGTCTTATGAACCCTAGTTTTCATGGTCCACTACTTGGAACTTAAGAGACCACCACCATTTGTGGAATGAGTCAGAAAATAAATATAAACCTTTGTTTGACACTGTAATTGTGTTCCTGACCAGACTCACTTTTGCTTATAAAGGGGCAGCGAATCGCCAGAATTATAAAGTAGTGGCAACAGGTTTCCCCCATTCTTTAGCAGTCTTTTTCCCTACCTATATTGAAGGAATTACATACAAAGATTACGTGAGAGGTATCAAGAGGAAAGGAAGGCCATGTGCAGATGAGAAAGAGACAACAGTCACACTGAGGCTGTTTTTCAGATTTTGAAACCTAAGTATTTTTGGCTCCTGGGAATAATTCTTTCAGACTGCTTGGTCATCTCACCGATTATGATGTGCAACACAGAATTTCCATCCCAAGGCAACAGGAATAGACCAAGGCTGAGGGAGGAAGTAAGGAAAGAGAAAACAAGACCTGAATGGGACCGATGTGGATGAACTGGCTTCCCTTTTCATATAAATTGGAAGCAGCAGCACCTTCATTAGTTTAACCTTTGTCTCTTATCACAGAAGCATTTTTTTTTTAGTAGATGTGGCTTTTATTGTAAAACTATCAAAACAAGCACGGGTATAATATGTGAGAAAAACATTTGTCTTTATTATTAGAACGTCAGGGAGCAAAAGGAATAAATGTGAGCCATTTCATGACTTACTTTCAACTTTTGTTTATTTCCAAGGGATTTGATACGTGTTTATTCACACACTCACTCATTCCTTCTAAAGAAATTGAATGATTCTATAGGAAAATACCACAGCACTGCTGTACCATCTTGTTTGTTTGAACATACAAAAAAAATGCTAATCATAAAAATAGTGGAAACCATCTTGGATTAAACAGATAGTCAAAAACATAGGCTCTGCCAGGAAGGCCCAGGTTCATTCATCTTTATCACTTACGGAAATTTACCCCGAATGGGTGTGTAATTGGTGTGATGGAATGCCATATTATGACTTCTATTCATATTTTTATCATCCTCTTTTAACACCTATTTTTATGATGTGTTCATTAGCATCATACTACTTATATATAAATAAACATACTAGTAAATATATGGAGGTGGTTGTGGGCTGGTCTCAGCCTATCAATAACCAAGGTTGTGGCTGAACTGGCCCTTGTTATTTGGATTGCAAGATGCACTCAGCAATACCCATTAGAAAACCTTGAGGAAATAAAAACAGGTTTATTACTTACAAGTCCTGGAAATTACATGGCACACCTGGGGCCACACAACAAGAGCAAGTTCGTAGGGGGATGGGGCAGGGAAGGGTGAAAAGGGTGTGATGCCTGGAATTCTGCTTTGATTGAGGTGGGGGAGGTGGTTAGGGTTTCAAAGGCTCACTCTTTATGGACAAATTTAAAACACAAGGGCAGGAATTTAAAGCACAAAGGAAGAGGGAAAAAAAAGCAGCCCAAAGGGTCAGTTGTTGAAATCAACCGAGATCTCTAAAACAAAAATGCCTGGGGAGATAGGGTAGGGGGTCAGCCTGGCTTTCGACCTGGTTACGTGGCTGGAAATGGGTTATTTGAGATAGCTGTCCCTGAAGCCCTTCTGAAGCAAAGCTTAAGTCAGGCACTTGCATGACAAAAAGAAAAGCCAACTGACAGGGCTTATCTGCAAAGGTTCGTATTAAAAAAAGATTGATATCCTAGGGGAGTATGCTCAAAAGGGTTTTGAGATCACTATTTTAGGACATTTGAAGGATAATTCTTCACCATCCAGGTTCTAGAATTAACCTTGGAGAATGATTGCAAATCTCTGCAAAAGACTTTCAAAATCATCGTTTGACCATGTCTTTAGGAAACAGGATAGACGATTTGTTCCTCATTAAGAGAGGGTCAGAACAAACCTACCTGAACCCATCTGTTTTAGGTGGGTTGAATCCTTTCAGCAAGTTCAACTCATAATAATCTAAATCTGTCCTCCTGAGCAAAATAGAGATCCTTGATGAAGCCACTGTACCCGTGGCAGAAATCAAATGACAGGGACTTCAAACTTGGATTTTGGCCATTCATCGCCTCCAAGTTTTGTATTACTGATGCACTGGGACCTAAATTGGGTAGTTTCTAATAAATTAAGCAATCATAATGCAAACTGTTTGCATGACATTTTGATCTGGAAATAAGCAAATTTAAATTTAATCCCAAGATTTCCTTAAAAATACATTCTCTATTTATATTTTATTTCTAGAAAATGGCACTTACCTGCATCCATTGCCATCACGGAAACATTGTATTGGTTGTTTTTTACAAATTTTGATTCTCTGTCTAGAGTTTTTACAGTTTTCAAGTCACCGGTGTGTTCATTAATTTCAAACCAGTTATCTTCATCTTTTATCTTCTTATACCTAATTTTTAGAAACCAAATGTAAATGCTCAAACCATTTCATTCTGAAAAATACATAGAATTTCCCCCAGTTAGAAATCAATTATCATCGCAATTAAAAAGAAGGAAATTATGAAAATACATTACCTTAAGCCCTCACTACTGCGCTTTTCCGGATCCAATGCTTTGTATCCAAGGAGCTCTTTGCCCTCTGGGAGGCCGTCTTTACTCTGAATAACTTTTACTGGCGGTTGGCATTCAGGGCCCTCATCAGTGTCTTTAACTTTAACAGTGACAGTTGCAGTGCACATAGTAGGAGCTTGTGAGTTTGGCGCTCTAGAGAACTGTGCTTCGTTAAGAACACCAACTTGCAAAACAACTTGGTCACTGGCTTCATAGTTCAGGGGCTGTTCAACGAACATACCTTAGTGAGTCAATATTTAACACTGCATATCGAAGACATAAGTATGATGCCAAGCTGTAGCACGAAAGGGAATATGATTTTTGTGTATAAAATGTTACCAAAAGTTGCTGCTAATGGAGTTAACGACTAATAATTAGCTTCCTAGAGTGACAAACACTATCAAATGCAAAATTGTTGATTTTAAGATTTAATCAATTTTTATTTTCACTTTCCTTTAGGAAGGTCCTGCCTTCATTTTTTTATTACAAGTTTATATATTAATAGAAACACAGATAAGTGTTTGAATAAATTCAAATAGACTATTTCTCATTATTTTATTACTTATCAAATGGGATGACAGTGATAAGTTAAACAGCAAAAGTCCCTCTAAGTATGTAAAATAATTAGCTAGACTACTAGGATGTGAAATTTGACTATAATGGAGCAGTTACTCTGAGGATCTGAGTCAAAAGATTTAATATCATCTAGCAGCACTTTTTCAAAGTACATTATATTTGAATTTGTTAATTCCTCATCGAAGTGCTTGGTCCTGAATTGAATGATTAGAAAGACTCCCAAAGCAACGGTTAAATGATTAAAGATGAAAATCTATCAAAATAACAAAAAAAAGATAAATAAATCTAGAAAAAAAATTTTAATAAAGAAATAAATACAAAGAAAGAGAAAAAGAATTGGCAATATTACAATGACGGGACAGTTTCTAAAAATCTTATGAGGAAGGAAAAATTTATGCATATCACTTCTAAGAAAATAGACTGCCTCCAAGAAATTAATGAGGAAAGATGCAAGAGGTTAGTGAGGGCTGTGGGTAGAAGGACTCAGAAAGAACACAAGTTCACTTAATCATTCTTGGAGTCACTAATTGCAATTAAATTTTAAAAATCCCAAAGCACTGGCTACCTCAAATATAGGGGGATTAATGGGAAAAGCTGCTGAATGTTTAGTAAATGGTGTGTGTCTTATAAAATGCATTATAGAGTGCTGAAAGTCTAATCTGAGCATGAAGGGAACTGAAGAGTCAAGAGGTTGACTTTAAATATTGATTCTTCTCTTTCTCTCTATTTTATGTTCTATAAAATAATGGATTTAGATAAGTGAGTGTCTAAGACTCCTTTTGAGGCTAATATCTGATTACTAATTCAATATTTCTCTGCCTTGGTTTTCCTCATATATAGAACAATCAATTTTGCACCTCTGATGCCTTCCTTTCCTCTAAGAGAAAATGAGAAAAAAATAATAATAAAGTTTATGTATAAAACAATGAAAATCATTTCAGCATTGCATTGCAATACTCTAGTTATATACATACAGGAATTACTATATATATAGTTATATATTATTATATATAGTTATTATTATATATTGTAATTTCCATTTATAACTATATATATTAATTCCTCCATATATAATGTATATGCCCAAGTGTAGGTTAGAACTTTGTAAAGCATTCCTTGATACATATATATTTACATATATATTTTTTTTACCTTAACAACACACAAGACTGCTTCATTTGTGTTTGGATCTGTGCTAATTCTGAAGTTTCCATTTTCATTTCCTTGTAGGATCTTGTATACAGCCTTTGAGTGAGGCGTGTTTGGCAAATCCTGGTCACGTACTGCCATTCGTAAAATCTCAACGTCAATTCTGTTTTCTTCTACTTCTGTAAAATACTGAAACCATTGCCTCTTGTTATTATAAATTAATAGTTTCACTGATGTGATTTTCTACTTTAAAGGTTATATTTAAAGTAAAAGAAAACAAAGTGATATGGAAATATGCAATTATACATCAGGAAGAATTTACATGTTTAACACATAAGCTCACACCTACTGTTTCAAATCTTATCCATTCTTCAAAGACTAACTCATGTCTTAACTTTTCAACTTCTATGAGGTGATTTTTCTAATCATTCAAGCCCTCATATTTGTCTCCATTCTGTACTTCTACAGTATTCACAGTCTATCACCCCTATTTTATACATAAAGTGCTTTATATTAAGATATTAAAGCTTCAGTGTTTGAAGATAACTGTAAATTTCCTTTTTTAACTTTTGACTCACTGGCAAACACTGTAAGGAAAAAGTTTTCCCTTCTTTGAGAAATTAAATCATAGTTTTTTCCCCAATACCCCCTAAAAAAGAAATATGATTATGGAAAAACACTTAAAAAAGTAGTAAATCAGAATCTTCCAGAGATGTAAAATGAAGGATGACAGCCTGGTAGCCTTTGGAACATAATGGATCTAGATTCTAATCCCACTTTTTCCTCTTATATCATCTGTATGTATTAGAGCATGGACATGTTACTTAACTGACCTTTCACGTCCTCCTATGAAATAAGGGATAAAACATATCCTTAAAAATCATAGGGATTAATGTAAAAATATTGTATAGATGTGCTTGTCATTACAGGTTTTCCCTTCTCTGACTTGTATTCTGGTACAGATTAATGAGAAAAGTGGAGACGACTTACTAAAAGTTCAAGAAAGAAGAATCACTTCCTGGAAGTACCATCCTACACACACCTCTTGTGTTGTGTGTTCCTAAGTCAGCGTGTGTTCATGGGTAACCCAGGAGGAGACTGCACACAGATGGCTGTACTCCTGACTTCCCAGCAGGGCAGAAGATGTAAACTAGCCCTTTTGTTATCTTAAAAAGTTGAAGAGTCAAGAACACCAGAGAGATGCCCTCTTCCCTTTCACAACTGTAAAGGAAATTTGAGTCCAAAGAATCTGATACCAGAGCTTGACATCCAAGAAGCACTGAACACGTCAATAAACTTCAAGGGACAGAAAGCAATTAGATGACCAAGAGAGTAGTCATTTCCTTGCATCCAGGAATAACAGCCGCTTTGATTATTTGTACAGAAATCATATTTTCCTATGGGTATTATTTGGAAGTTGTTGCTATTAAAACCAAAATGTATAATCCGAGAGCTAACAAATTCCAGATTTGTTTTTTTTTTAAAGTAAATGAATCTAGAGAAATGAATACAGAGATATACTCACAGAAGATTCTGTAAAATATGGTGAATTGTCATTTTCATCCTCAAGCGAAATTGTAATTGTTCCTGTATTAAATAACCCAAAAGGTTGGCCTCCCATGTCTCGCACTTCCATTATCAACTTGTACGTATCACATTTCTGAAAAAAAAAAGGGGAAAGGTACACTGATGACCACTTCTATTTCCTGTAACCTGTGATTCTCATAGCCCTTGCTCAGGCTTCGATTATTGTACAAATTCTTCTTTGAAATTTTTTCCAGAAAAAAGCTAACACAAATACAAACATCGAATAAGAGATTGGTCAGTCAATACAATGGAAAATTGATGTTTCTAATATAACATTTCAAAATGTAAAATTATTTTAGCATCCACACATCAAACCAGGTCACTGACGTCAAGTGAAGCCTTGTCTAGCACCTTGCACCTTCCCCCAAGTCCCTGTAGGTACAAAGGAAGTGTCCTGAGAAGCCCTAAGCACAGCCCGTGTGGAAGCAGGCCTGGAGAAGGGGCCTTCCTGTGACTTCCCTGGGAGTTCACCATCAGTTTAAACATAGTTTAGTGGCTGAGAAATGAATTAAGCAATTCATTACTTCTCTATCCAGCAAAGGCGTAGCTGTGGTGATGACACCTGTATCTGGATGGATGGAGAAATGCTTTGGGTGATCTGGGATTTGCTGTAAGATCTTATATCTCAGACGAGTATGCAGAGTGTCAGGTTCATCGTGGTCGATGGCTGTCACTTTTCCCACTGAAGTTCCTGTTTAGATAAATCCAACAATTTCAACAATTTCAAACAGCGACACAACTGAATTACAAACAAAAATAAAAATCAAGGCATTGCTGTAGCATATTCTCAAAACCACCAGTTGATTAATGTTAAATGTTATGGATAAGTGGAGAAGTATCTAAATGCTCTCCAAAACTCTAAGTGCCCCTTACCTGGAAACATTGACTAGGTAGCTACCGTGGATAATATGATTTGCATTCTGTCTACGTGGGAACATCCACCCCACCTGTGGTAACAGCGGTTCTCAAATTCTTCCTCCCAAACCAGTTCATGGACCATTTTTGGATGGTGTCTTCTCTGTATAGCTTGTTCTTTTCAAAGGCCAACTTGATAATGTTAATTAAAGGAAGAGCACAGCTTTGCATATGATAACAAAGGTTTTATGCTTTTGTATTTTAATAAATGTACTGAACTGTTAATATATACAAGACTTCAACGTTATGCAACAGTTTGAGTGTCATTTGGACCAGCTTTATGGCCCAGAAATCAGAGTATTGGAAACGCTGCTTTAGCAAACCACTTATTGAGGGAAAACAGTATTAAATATGCCTACATAATGACAACAGGATGGAGGAGGCATAAAAACTAACAACATAAAAACTAGCAACTTTATGAATAAACTAGACAGTCTTTTTATGCCCTTTGGTTTGACAAGGTCACAATCTTGGCTGCTGAGAACATCAACCAATTAAAAATTTTTTTTTCAATTTGTTTGGAAAAATGTGCTGAGTAAAGGAACGCATAGGTTGTTACAAGCCAGGTCAGCATTTCCATACCATCATCTATTTCCGGCTCCTTGAAAATGTATTGTGACGATCTATTGCTTTATAAATATATCTATGACACATATGCACACGATCAAAATAGAAACAATAAAGAGTGTCTGTCTGTCACACACTCATATGTAGTAGAACTTTATGTATCACTTAGCTGCCATCCGCATGTGCCTGGAAAATGAGCGCAAAAAGGTTTGCCTTTGAAGAGCCTATGATCTTATAAGACTACAAAGTTTTGTATAGCATATCCTTGAAAGTCCAGCATTTAAAAATGTTCTGCATAATTGTGTTTAAAAGATCAATGAGGAATTCGATGGAAGCAAAAATCTCATGTTTTCCCTGAAGCGTGAACTTACCGGTTCGGCAGTTCTCGGGCACACTAAACATAGTCAATTTGCTTTCAAAGTACGGGGCATTGTCATTATCATCTTCGACCTTGAACAGCAAGGGCAGTGGGTACTCGGGTGCATAACCGTCTATGGTCGTCGCGTAGGCATAGAGCTGAAAGGTAGACAACCCCCATCAGCTGATTCTTCAAGAACAAATTAAGCACAGAATTAAACCTAGCAGTTGGGGAGAGACGTAATGTTTGAAAAAAAAAAATCATCTGCAAAGGCACATCTAACCAAGAACTTATCCAATGGAGACACAACACACCAGCACAGTCTGTGTCTGAATTAGGTTAACTCAGGAGAATCCACTTACGTTCCTATGATAGAGAAACTATGAATCTTTTCGTAATTAGTCACTAAAGCAACAGTTTCAAAAAGCGCAATGAGAGGAATGGTTTGGCAGCCTAGTTTCCATCATTCTATATTAAAGCAGTAATAATATACTTAAACGTTGTTAAATTAGTATAAACGGAATACTGTACTTTAGTAGGATTAGTCATATTTTTAGCCGAGTTAGAAGAGTGTTATTTAAATTTTACATGTGTACTATTGTGATGTCATTTTCCCTTTGAATTCTTCTGTAGCTTGAAGAACCTCATCTCTTCTAGCCCTTTTGCACTGTAATGTGCTCTTATCTTTGAAATTGCTCTCATCTTTGGGAAAATGCAAACAGGTGTCAGCAGGAGCTGGGACTTGAATTTAGCGCTGACTTGAGAGTGGGGCATTCAGTGTAGGCTGGGCAGAGGAAGGGAGAGAGCGGGGACACCAACGCTGAGTGTGTACAGAATGTGATTAGCAACGTGTATATAAGGACAACGGATGGACTTGTGTGTCTGGAAAAGAAATCACACGTTACAAGATAGTAAGGCTCTTCCTGGATAGAAAAGAAGGGACTGGATTGAACTAATTTTTCCCTACAAATTTATAAAGTCCAGACTCTTCTAAACATTCAAGAGGAAGAGTGTTTGCATCTGCTTTCTTTCATAGAATAACTTGGAACTATTGAAGAAGATTCACTTCTTCTGCAATTCTTCTTTAAAAAGCTTGAAAAGGGACCTTATATAAATCCCTAAAAATCATATGAATTGAATGGTTTAAAACAAATTCCTCCAACTGCAATAACGGTGTGACTCATCTAGAACATTCTTTGCCAGCCAAGATTGAACAATACAATGTGGGACAAGAGAGCAAACAAGGGAGCAGCAATGATAGGAACTGAATTAGACCTGTGGCTACTGTTTCCAAAAATCAATGAAATTAAATTATTTCAAACAACATGAATTTATTAATACTTAACATTTATATCAATTAGATAAAAGCAAAGAATTGGAAAACCCCATCAAAATCCCCAGCTTTGAGGACAAAATTCTGGAACATGTGCATTATTTGAGCTACCATCAGAATATTTTTAAAGAGCTTTACAGTTCATACAGTGATTTGGCCACATTATGGTATTGAATGATCCCAACAGCTCAGAGGTAGATAAGACAACTATTAGCAGTCCATAAAAGAGAGAAGAAAGCAATCTTGAGGTTGTGACCTGCCCAAGACTAAAAGGAAAAGTGGCAGATACTGAAGATCCACTAATTTCCAGAGAAATAAGCTTTCCAGTATAAAAGAATAAGTAAAACTGATTTGATAGAAAAGCAAAGACATTTTAATTTTAATCTCTGCATTGACAGAGAAGGCTTCTTTCTATTCCACATTGTCTCAAGTGATTTTATAGCTGGCACCATGTTTACATCTGGTTGTTGCACTTCCCCTTATGAATTTTGTTGATTGCAGTTGGTGTTTCTTAATGCCAATTCAATCTTAAGCATGTTAATGGGAACCAGAGAAACACAAATAATTCAGAAGGGAAAATTATTCAAAAGCCCAACTTTGAGCAAAAATTGCCAACTATTTTATTCCTTTGTCCTTCGAAAGATGTCAAAAAATAGTGAAGTAACGTATTTTCATTTTAAACTATTCTCTCTGGCAACGATCCGGGGAAGAAGCCAAAACAGACAGCAGGTTGATGAGTGAGAAGCAGATGAAGACCTCAAACCCCATAAACAAGATGTTATCAGTAGCGTAAGAGACGACGCGTGCATTGCATCGCCCAGGGCAGGCAGCTCTTTATTCAGTATTAAGGCCTTTTCTTCTGTGGTTGGATCTTTTCTGCTTGTGAAGGAGCTATCAGGGGAAGCAGCAGAGAACTTATACATTTAAACATTATGAAGAAATTATGTCCTTCTAATCCAGCCATTTTATTTAATTATGAAATCCCTAAAGGGGAACATTAACCTTGCTTCAAACATTTCACTACCTTATATAGAGCTTTGAAATCCTTAAAATAGGGTCCTCGGCATCAACTATCGAGTCCTTCACACTCTGGTCTTTACTTCCTGCTCTCGTCTCACACCCTTTCTTAGCTTCAAACAATGCCTTCAGCTAGGATTTGTTGTTTCTGTAGATTTATCTCAAACCGTGGGTCTTTCCATCGCTGATGCCTCTGCCTAGGGCACTCAGCTATCTCCTCCACTGCTCCCCACCTCACCGTTTATTGACTTTTCGTGGCTGCCTTTATACGGCCGTAAATTCCTACACATCTTTCAAATGTCTGCTGAGATACTACTTTCTGGACTGCCCATGTGTCACTTTCCCTTTCCTGTGCTACTTGAGCAAAGAACTCCTTTACTACACTCTTAGAATTCAAGACACCATGTGCTTAAACAGCTTCATTCACCATCACACTACAACTCACGGTGAATTTCTTTTGTATGTCAGATTAGACATCAGAACACTAAGGAGATACGTGAAGTTGAAACAGGAAAATTAAAGATTCAATTTTCAGAAGAGTTCGAATTTTTCCTTGGGTGAGGTTAGTTAGAATAAGATGAATGGGTAAATGTATTACTCAGGAATTAACGATAGTCAAGATTCTTGTTGTTGAAGGACAGTCAGAGGGAAGGAAAGACAAGATGGTCAATGCAACACAAGAGGCTAACGCAGGGGATCTCAACCTCAGGAAACATTTAGAATCGCCTCAGGTGACTTCAAATTTTCATTGCCTGGGCCCCACCCTAGAACAATTAAATCAGAATTTCTGGGAATTGGCTCGATCATCAGTACATTCAAAAAAAAATTATCGCATGATTTATAACATGGAGTCAGGGTTGAGAATAATTGAGCTACATTATTACAGGGAACTTTAAACGCAATAAAATTCACTGTTATTGTCCCAGGAGTCTACAGATCAAAACCTGTCCTTCAAAAATGTTATTATAGTTTCTACAGCTTTCCCTGCCTTTCTTAGGATATCCATTATCTTTCTTCATCCATGGCACCAATAGAAACTTGAAGTTTATATTACACAGTAACAATACTCAAAATATTAAATCAAATATTTGATTCTTCTAATATGTAAATAAGTGGTACTGAAAATATTAAACCAAGAATAGAAAATATGATTCTGAATAATCCAATAATCTTACCGGAAACTCTGCATACTGCTCACGATCTATGCTTCTTGTACAAAAGATATCCCCTGTGTCTTTGTCTATGAAGAACAAATTGAAGGGCTCTTTGTCAACTCCTGGTCCACTTATGGAGTAAAAGATGGTGTAGTTCTGTGCGGCATCAGATTGAACCTGTAACGATAGGTGATAATTCAAGGAAAGAACAAATATGTCGTGATAAATATTTTCAACCTAATCTCTTGTGATGGTTTTTTTTTTTTTTATCACTGGCTCTCTTTCCTACTCCCCTATTCTTTCTTTCCTCTGTGGGTCCACCCCCATGTTTTTAAAATTCTTAATCATATTCTGCAATGTGCCAAGCCACAAACTCTGTCACCTCTTTGATTCCAAATTATTTTGGGTTATCCACATAGAGATGGAAAAATAGTGCAGCTGAATATGCCTTTACAATTCTTATTCATTTATTCTTATTCCTACATAAAGTATAGTAACAAAAGTGATTTTGAGTTATTAGCAATGGAAAATTTTGTGACTAAAAAGAAGTAGAAAAAAATGCAACTTTCCTCCCATAATTACTTCTTCAGGAATTGCATAATTCCAAAGTTGACCTATGTGTGCACTTCAGTTATGTGGCAGTGATACCACTTTTTGGTAAATGGAAATATGGGCTTTTTTCGTGAGGATAACTGCTAAAGGGAGAATTTAATTATGCGAAATCTGTAGGCATGTCCTCTGTACGTGAATACTGAAGTGTGGTAGAGTATTCAGGAGAATCAAAATGCAGACCCAAGAGCATCAGAAACTCAAAATATGCAACTTGTTTCTAAGTGCTAAATATGATTTTCGGAGGAAAGTGATAAATACACAGACTCCCTTCTGCAGGACCCTGGTTCTGGTGAATAGATGGTCCTCACTGGTACCAACAGGTCAAAGCCCTGAGTCAATTCAAATGGGAAGTTTCAAGAAGAAACAAAATTTGAACATAAAATGGAACAAGATGGACTGTACCTGCTGAACATGTTGTGGAAATGGACCTAGTGAGTTCTCCATCAGCGAACACGGAATAGGGGCCCATCGCCTCTTGCTTCGCCTGAGGACTGTGTCTTTGGGATGTCTCTTAGGAATCTGCATTTGATGAGAGGTGAAGAAATACAGCAGAGCTTATCCCTCTAGGCACTGTCCGAGGGCATCGACATGAAGAAACAAGTGAGGGTTGTACATAATATCATGTACATACAACACCCAAACAATTTCCGTGTTTTATTAACAAGACACACACACATATATACACAGAGTAAGAACCTCTTTCACCTATTTCCTGATTTAATCACCGAACCAATCAGAACATTTATAGGATTTTGGTGAAAGATGTTATCTTGAGAAGTATAGATCACCTAAAAAAAGATAATCCATTAGCAGATATTTGAGAATTAATTTTATTCCACTTGTAGTGGTACAACTAAAATTTGTTAAAATACTAGCTATGGTGCAAAGCATCTGTATACCTACATAAAGACACAGGTCAGCATGTGGTCCAATATATTTTATTTTATGTGATACGGAAACTCTTCACAATTTGCATATAAATTAACGTTTTGTAGGCCTTAGTCTAAATTTGTAACAAATGAAAAGCATATGTAATATGTAAGCACATTCTAAATTTGATGGTGAATTCTTGTAATCCAAAGGAATTTAGCTGGGAAAGTGTCTTATAAATTGAATCACTTATTATAAGTTATTTAACAAGAAAAAATTAATTGTGCAGAGTTTGCTGAAAATGAGATTTATGTGAGTTCCAGTAACCTTCCCCCTTCCCACTCCCTGATCACCACCACTCACTGCAAGAAGATGAACTGGCAAACCCATTCTGTGGACTGGCCATACTCCATTCTCTGAAGAGAGGGACCTTCTAGAATGTTCTATTAAGAAGACAATAAATTGTAGATGACCTCATCTCTGCTTTAAAGAGAGACTGAAAGTCATAGTCACTTGGGAGAGAGCTACTCAGGGTGGAGGGCCACACCTCCAGCCTGAATGAGTCTGCACTGAGTTTTCCACCTGCCCTGCCTTGTTCCTCAGGTTGGTTGTTCTTACTGCCACACCTCACAACATTATCTGAAACCTCTGCTGTTCTGACTTTGCACCCTGGCTACAGAGCTGTTCATTTTGACACCATTGCAAATAGCTCTATTACTCCTTAAAAAAAGTCTAGTCTTTACATATGGTAATTCTAAGTGGAACAGAAACAAGCGAGCACATAAGAACAATGACTGTCCCAGGGAAGGAAATATATGAGATGGAAGATGCTTGTAAGAGGGTTACTATGCTCAAGTCTCGCCTAACGTACCTTCTTTCCTCTTGCTTCCAGTACAATGTCTATCTCTTTCTGCTCCTGTCCCTGAGCATCTGAAAGAAGAATGGAAAAACTCTTCTTTTCAGAAGACAAAACGAGGTCCCGTGTTGTGTAAACTGAGCCATCTCCTAGAATTCTGAAGTCAGGATCACTTGAGTGGATTAGGCTGGCTGACTGGAGACACTTCTTCAGATTCACTGCAAGGAAGAAATTTCACAGTAATTTGTACAGTGAAACAAGAATAGAACAAGTTTTACAGGAGTGACAACTTCCAGTCAGTGCATGAGAAGCAGAAAGAGAGAGAGGTTACACCTGGGAATACACTGAGTGTCTTCTATTGTAGAACTTAGAGGCCATAAAAATTAAATACTTAAATTAATGGAGTTGCAGTTTCCACTGCTTTCATCATTAACTAATTCATGAATAGACACAAAGTATTTTCTTAATCTCGCTGGTTTTATTGTTTCCGCTTTAATTTTTACCTATGGGTTTATACATTAAGTACAAATTTGTCATTTTCTATTACATGCAGTGTAACTGTATGACGTCAGTAGATTTTGAACTTGTTTGCAATAATCTGTGACCATTAAAACTATCTTGCAAAAAATAAGAAAAGAGGTCCATAGTTAAGTAATACTTCACAGTTGCAAGTACTCATTCTGTAATATCTTTTGGAGGCTTGATAAACACAATGCTTAGTAATCCTTAGTGGTTGCATCAAAATATTTCCTTTACAGATTCCTATTTGATACATTTAGCATATTTACTATGTGCCCTTTGGGTGCAGACTGTATATCTTTTAAGTGCTTAATTTAAAACCTCAAAGCACTGGGCAAAGCATTGTCTACCTTGGAAAGAATACCACTTCTGTATTCAAGGTATATTTTTCTAGATGTAAACTGAAGACTAATGAGAAATGTTGATGAAAGAAATGTTACTCCTGGACTCAGAACAACCAACCCATGCCTCAGGTGTGGCTGTGATAATAAGACTACTTAACAATTTTATTTGACTTTCTGAAGTTATTCTGTGAAATAGATCACATGAATTCTTGCTGGGTACCTGGTCATTATAAGCAATTTTAAGCATAAATTTTATTTTGGCATTTAAACTTTGACGCGTCTGTTTTATATCTATTCAATTAAAGAACATCGGCTTTGGAATTTTGGCAGCAGACAGTCACAGGAAATTAAAACATGCTTCTGGTTTCGGTGCCTTGCTTTGTTTGTACTAAACTAAGATAATTTAGCCCTCTGATGTTTGCTAATTCTCCTGGCAAGATAAGCATACAGCTACCTTGGTACTTTTGATTGTTTCTAATCACTACCCCAAACCAGGTAGTTTGTCTTTCATTTTATGTCGAATTTTAATTTCAAGTAACTACCCTATGGCCTTAATCCCAAACTTTACAAGAGCAGCCCGCAGCTAACTGTAGCAGTTAAAACTATGAAATTCTTAACATCATTTCTCACCTTTGCCTACAAGTGCTTCAGCATGAAGATGAGAAGGAACTTGGAGAGAAATTTTCTGGCAAGCATCGCAAAACAACAGTAAAACCTCGAAAGAAAGAAAATAATATCAGGAATTACATTTGACCACGAACTTTCACAGTACAGTTTTGTCTTATTGACAAAACTATTGTCGATTTCTGAAACAAATGAATCTTCCAATCCTTCAGTGTTTTTCAAATTCATTTTAAAAGGAGACAACAAAAAAAAGTGGCTTTTAACCACAGTCCTTTAGTATCAGTGAAAAAATTAAAGTGAACAGTAGTTCTTAGGACCTAAATTGTACTGCATCATTTTAGGAAAACGTGTTACAAACCATTGACTTTATATAGAGGGTATCAGCTCTCAGGCCATTCATAAATGCCATTCTGGTTTTTTTAGCATGAAGAAAGTACTTAACTCTGGAATATAATAACCATGTATTTGTACACAAATCATCATTTTCACAGCCGCGAACAATCTGAGGTATAGCTGACTAAGTCAAGAAAGTATTTGAGGATGGCTTTTAACTTCCTAAAGAACAGCACCCACAAATATTCACTGGTCTCAAATCACTCCTTGGACCGGCTTGGCACAAACTCCAAAGTCTAAATAATCTCATTCACAAAACTAGTCGAAAAAGAAATACAATTCAAAATATAGAGGGTAATTCAACAGGGTAAAGACTTTTAATTAAATTCAAGACACAGCTATTGTTTTAAGAAGTTATAGACCAAGTTCAAGGAGAGAAGAAGGCAGAGATGATCTGAAAAATAAAAACTATCGGTTTAAAAGTGTCAACAAATTCGAAACTTATTTTTATTTCTTTTTCTTGTCATTTTGTTTATTTGCTTCCTCTTCTGTTGTTCAAAATGACTGTCTTTATTATTTAAACATAAAATTGACCTAGAACAGAAAGGTCAATTTTATAACCAATTTTTCTCTGAGGACATATTTCTAGGGTTAAGGGACCCATTGGGAGAAGGAAAGAAGACAGACTATCAGCCATATGGATGGATGGACATTTCTTTTCTAACTCAGCCTGAGTCTATTGGAGATACTGCATCAGCCTATATAAATAGTCTGTAATTGTACAAAATTCTGTTAGGCAGGTTAATACCAAAACTTGGACTTTTAAAAGTTGTGTTTGCATTCTGCTTTAATTTGAATAACCACTTTTAAAAACATGAGACTTTTTATTTACTCGGACTTTTTAATATTTTCGTTCCTAATGTCAGGGAATGAACTAAAATTTACCTAAAGAACTTTCTCAGTGTAAAAAATATATAATGTGGAAAGAACATTTTGTAATTTTATATATATATATATAGATATATATATATATATGCAAACACAATATACACATATATATATATACCTATACATATATATACCTACATTGTTATATGCCATGCATATATATATATACACATTATTCTCATAGGATACATCCACATTCCCGTTCATACCCCTATCTTTTTTCCTTCCTGCCCTAGGACCCCCGGTTTGTCAGTTTTGCCTCTGCAGACAAGCTAATGCAGGTCTCCAGAAGTAAAATTCCAGTCTTCAGGTTAAATGAGCAGCTTAGTTATTTGGAGGCAGCTGACGTCAGACAGCTGCTTAGTCATTACAGGGATGGATGAACGGATGGGCAGGGGATGAGCCAAAGGATACTGGACAGAGCAGAGACTAAAAGTGCAAGAAATCTGGCTGAGTATCTTGGAATGCTTTTGCCACATTTTACCTAACTAGTACTAACTCAACTTAATACTAATCTCTGAGCACCCTCCCCCCCACCATGCAGTTACAGGATAAAACTGTGACCGTCAGTCCCACCTAGTGTATTACTTACATGGAGAAAATGTTTATCCCCATGTCATAAAATCTTTAGATCCTGAAAATATAATTTGAAGCCAATTTGCTAAAATGAAAAAAAGAAGGAAATTTGATGCTAGGAAATGCCAGATGTAGACATGGGACAACTCCCCTCTCCCCACTCCTCACCAAAGAAAAATGAGCACCTGAGTACACAGTTACAAAGGTACTAAATACCTAAGTGGAAGCCAAGTTAATTTATGTTTTCCATGACTGTCACATTTTTCTTTATTATTACTATTTATTCAAGTTAAACGCCTTGCCTGAACTAAGAGCTCGGCCTTTCCCTTAGCCCTTCCCGGGTAAAAGTAAGAAAGCCCTGGCTAGTTCATCTCTCCACCCAGAATCGTCTTCCTCTTCTCCCAGCTTAGTGGAACTGAGCACGTTAAGTAACTACAGCCTATTTAATGACTAGTAGCAAAAGGAAACCTCGGAACCTTCTGGGCCAAATGCCTGAGGAGTGAATTCATTCCACGACTCCTTAGAACAACACCAGAACAAGACTGAACAGCGGATTCCCTTGAAAACCTTTAACATCTTGGCTTGAGCAAACCAAACATCTGGCCTTCCAGGTCACAAGTCTCTCAACTCTTCCTTGAATTTCCCTCAGATCTGGTTTTGTTTTCCCAGCCTACCTTCTCCGCCTTCCACTCCCACCTTACTCTCCAGCCCAGACTGAAGGAAGGAAGTGCACAGTACCGTGCTTGGACTCCCTAATCCTTTGATTGTTACTCACCAGGAGACAGAAGAGGAGCTGCTTACAGAAGATGCTCCCTGGGGCAGCGGAGGCCACAGCCATCAGAAGCGGTCCCAGTGGTCAGGGATGGTGGCTGGATAACAGGGCAGCTTGAGATGCACAGGGCGGCTTCCGCAGACTCCCAATGGCTGGCACTTGTGCAGGGAATTCTGCAGATGAGCTTGGTTTGGAGAAGAGTCAGGAGGCAAGTGGTAAAAACGACAGGAGGAGGAGCAGCAGAATTGCTTTGCTCCTATTCCCGGGTCAGTCTTCGCCCTTGCAATTCAATTACCTCTGAATGTCAAGAGGTTTTCCTACAAGTGGGGAGGGTGGGGTGCAAGACACCCCAAAACTCAGCCACTTAGCTCCTCCTCACAGCTTTCAAAATTTCTCCTGCCACTTGACACATAGGCAGAAGTGACAGGGAACACCCTCAGTCCTGGGCCCTCCTCCTTTTCCCCCCAGGTTGATGCTCTGAAGTCCTCCCCAGTTATTACCCACTCCCACGTCCTCCCCTCCTTCTTAGCCTTATTAACCTGCTTTGCCTCTGGGTACAAACATAGACTGTGCATGAACTCCTTGCGAGGAATTGATGCCTTCTCAGCTGCCGTTGGCAAATCGGAGACACACAGGCATGTGCGATCACATCCATCAGAAGTTATCTCCCCATCTGAGTGTTTAGGTGTAGTCTGTCACACACAGCACTGTGGTTCTGGGCTGTAGTCCTGCCAGGGACCTGGCACTCCAGTCTAGGGCAGCAACTGCACGGACGCATTGCGTCCGCTCCTTCTTACTGTCTGCCCACTGTGCTCCGATTCTCCAGCTGTCACAGGAACTGACCATGGTGTACATAGACCTTATAAAAGTAAGTGAATAAAGAAATAGCGAGGGTATAATTTTCTTACTGTATTCTTTAAAATTTTAAAAACTCAATTTATTTAAACTAAAAATATAAAACGAGTTCACCCATGTCTCCCACTCTCCATCACCCTCCCCAGCCCCAGCCTCTTCTCTTGAGCCACCAGTCTGTTCTCTGTACCTATGAGCTTGAGCTTGGTTTTTTTATTTTTTATTTTCGGAGATTCCACACGTACGTAAGACGATGAGTATTTGTATTTCTCTGTCCAACTTATTTCACTCAGTATAATGCCCTCCAGGCCCACTCATGTTGTCACAAATGACGAGGTTTCACTCTTTTTCAAGAATGACATGTAGGTTGATTCCGTATCTTGGCTAGTGTAAACAATGCTGCGGTGAACATAGGGGTGCATATGTCTTTTCATATTAGCATTTTAATTTTCTTTGGATAAATACCCAGAAGTGTAATTGCTGGAAATGGTAGTAATATTTTTAATTTCTTGAGGAAACTCCATAGTTTTCCAGAGAGGCTGCACCGATTTGCATCCACACCAACAGTGTACAAGGGTCCCCTTTTCTCCACATCCTCACGACGCTTGTTATTTCTTGTCTTTTTGATCACAGCCGTCCTGACAGGTACGAGGTGATATCTCATTGTGGTTTTTGGTTTGCATTTCCCTGATGATTAGTAACGCTGAGCAACGTTTCATGTACCTGTTGTCCATCTGTATGTCTTCTTTGGAGAAATGTCTATTCAGATCATCTGCCCATTTTAAATCAGATTGCTTTTTCTTGCTATTGAGTTGTACGCATTCTTTGTATTTTTGGGATATTTGTCCTAATCAGATACGTGATTTGCAATTATTTTCTCCCATTCAGGAGGCGGTCTTTTCATTTTGTCGATAGTTTCCTTTGCTGTGCAAAATCTTTCTAGTTTTGCTGTTAGTCTCCCTTGTTTATCTTTGCTTCTGTTGTCTCTGCCTCTGGTATCAGACTCAAAAAAAAATCACAGCCAAGATTTATGTCAAGGAGATTACCGCCTTTTAGTTTTGTGGTTTCAGGTCTTATGTTAAGCTGTTAGTCATTCTGAGTTAATTTCTGCATATGGTGTAGGACAGTGGTCCAGTCTCATTCTTTTGCATACGACTGTCCAGTTTTTTTCTAGCACCGTTTATTGAAGAGACTGTCCTTCCCCCATTGTATATTCTTGGCCCTTTTGTCATAAATTAAATGACTATATATGTGTGGGTTCATTTCGGGGCTCTCATTCTGTTCCACTGATCTATGTGTCTATCTATTTTTGTTTCAGTAATCTACTATTTAAAAAAAAATAATATTAGGTTGTACTTTGTGTAGAGCACATCCTGGTTGAGGCCTTCTTTGCCCTCCTTGAGGAAGTAGCACCCTTTGGCCAGCATCCTCCACTCTTGGCATGCTCTCCCGGCAGCCCATTCAGGAAACCTCATGGCCTGGGGAGCACCTGTCTGCCAACACCCGCCCCTGTGCACCCAGGCCTTAAGCCTCTCCAAACCTGGCAGGTGGGGCTGGGGAAGTGCCCCCCCCTTGGCTTGCAGCTCCATGGGCACATAGGGCCTACGTGGTTCCAGCCACCAGGCCTGGCTCACTGCACTACCGGCATCTTCCTTTACAATCAGGCCCAGCTGGCAAGACACATGGGGTCTTCAGTTTTGCTGCTGCGGCTCCATTCCTGCTCTGGCAGCTACCACCCCAGTGCAATACCGTACAATTTTAATCACTGTAGCTTTGTAGTAGAGTTTGACATCAGGAACTATGATGCCTCCAGCTTTGTTCTTCCTTCTCAAGACTTACTCTGGCTTGTCTGGGCCTTTTCTGGTTCCATACAAATTTTGCGATTGTTTGTTTTATTTCTGCAACAAATTCCCTTGGAATATAAATACTAATTATTTTCTTATTCCATTCTTTTTTATTATTCATGAGATGTTTTTCCTTGAATATCTGTATTTGAGAACACCTATGATCTGAGGCCAACTCTTTTTAAAATCACTCCATTCATCCAAATTAATTGTACATTACAGGACATCCGAGCCTAAAAGTACAATATTCTATCAAGCTTAGTTTTTTAAACACTAATGACCCTTGCAATGAAAACTATAGCATCATTTCTCCTGTCAACTCAGGAGCTCAATATCAATCACACACAAGACCAGTGATGGAAGTTATGGAAGGAGGGTAAATATTTTCAAATGGTAATTGTTTAATTTGGGGTATAAAAGAGGGAACTAAAATTCATATTTAACAAGCCATTGCTAAGAATCAGAAGCCACGACAGGCATTTCACTGAATCCTCCCAAACAGTCCAATGAGGGCTCCTTTTAGATGGCAAAACCACATGAAAGTAAGTAACCACCTTTCTCCCATTAACCCAGAGACGATGGAGAAGCAAACATTTGAACCCAGGTCTGTTTGCCGCCAAAGTGCTACTCTTTGCTCTCATGCTATTTTGATGATAAATGTGTATCAATATATTGAAAATGAGCAGAAAATGATGATCAGGTATGTGAGAATCCTGTCTTGTTGAACATTAAGCCAGTCTGAGACCAGTGGAACGTATTGAGAAGCAGTTATAACCTACACCTCTTAATTACAGTCAGCCGTTCCAGAATACTGTGGGGCATCTGGCCTCTTTTGTGAGAGTCATTCTATTGTCAAGTAGAACGGCTGTTAAACTACCTACTTCATAAATTTTCATACTTGAAATTAACTCTTCCTGCTCTTGCTGCTTATATTTCTGTCTCATGTTTAACTGAAAAGTAAAGTTATAGCTCACTCCCCATGCTGCTGAAAAACGAAGGATGAAAGATTTTCTTGTGCTTACCTGACAGTGTATGTAGAGAGGGAAATGATAACATAACTGCTTCTTTGGAATCAGAGGCCAGGAAGGTTTGGGAAGGAAAAGGCCCTGGAAGATGAACAAAATGATGTCTCATAGTATTTTATTGCCAAAGGTACAACCACCAATAAGTATATACTTTGTATCTGCACTGGAATTTGATCTCTCAATGAGAAAATAAAATCACTTTAATTGGGTATTTTTATATTTGACACTTTGGGAGAAAAGAAAAGAATGGTAATATAGAAATAGGAATAATTACCTAAATGTATACAGGTAGCTCCAAGTGTAATTCTGTCTGGGTGTATTTCAGCATAATTATCTAACTATAGACTTAGATAATAAGCATATATATTTAATGTTCTTAATAATGTGCATATATATATACATATATATATTTCTGAATTCAAACACTCAAGTTCTTTAATTCTTCAATCCTAGAAACTGGGACTATGCTTTTCAGCTAATGAAGTCATCATTACATCTTCCCATATTTTGACAAAAATTAAATTGGCAATTCTGAACAAATTAGCATGTATTGGCCTGTAAAAAAGACACAAGGCATTGCTAAGTTTGAAAGAATATTCTCCATGGATCCTGGAAAAGTGATTTTTTAAAAAAATCATACTTCTTTTAGCCTGCCTGCTACACGTTTTTTCTCCAATTAGCTCTCTTTCTTGACAGTAATAATAATAAAAAAACCTTTCATAAACATTAACTCAAATCACTGATTTGCAAATCTGTCACATCAACGATATTTTTTCCCATATTTGCTACTTATACACAAGGGCTTCCTTAAAAATCGAAGTATTTTATAGGAAAACAATTTAATATTACAATAAAATAAAATTACAGTGAAGCTGACTATCCTAAACCAAGCTAAATGAAAACAAAGTATCCCTTTAAGTTTCCTGCCATCAGATTATTCAGAAAGAGCTGTATTTTATTTTTATAAGTATGTTTGTTGTATTTTGTTTGTTTTAATCTATGCCTAAATTAATAGCATAACTGAATGACTGATAGTGTAGAACAGTACTTAAGAGCTTTAAACTCCGGGTTCAACTCCTGGCTTTGCTACTTAGTAGCAATATACCATTGGGTGATTGACTTAATCCTTCTGTGCCTCACTCTCTTCATCTATAAAATGGGGACAATAATAGCTCCTAATTTATAGACTATTATGAGGATAAACATGGCATTACATAGAAAGCACTTTGAACAGTGTCTGGCTTATGAGCAATAATATTTTATACCATATAATTGCCCAAGTGTGTAATAAAAAGTTAAAGAGATTAAATTTTAATGGAAACAAACAAAATTATTGCAAATCCAGGTTCTCGTGTAAAAACTGTCTAAAGATATACATATTTATCCATTGAGGAAATATTTAAAAGTTCATATATTGGGCCTTGCCCTCCGTAATGAGATGAGCGCCATGTACAGAAAGGAAGATGGAAATACTATTTTAAAAGGCACACTTTGTGGAGGACACAAATATAATCCTCTTTCCAGCTCAAAACATAGGTTCAAAGGAGATACTGTAGCAAATATTAAACATCTTAGC